AAATCATGATTAATCTGGTACCATTAATTATGATTATTTAAGGTGTTATTTCTGTAATGAAAATTGAGATTTAACACTAGTTCAAGAAGTGTTAAACATAGGGAGTACACTCACGAAAGTAGAGGTGCATCTATGTGGTTTTTAATGATTCATTTCATGTAATTTCATTGAAGAAATTGACTTGTAACTAATTTCACAACCATGAGAATAGGTATGGATTAGTTATACGTATAGTTGATTCACTACGAAAGTAGGTTTCACATGTTTAAGGAAATTACACCATAACTAGTCTAGATGTAGTATTCAATGATCCAAATATAGCACTTGCATGAGTAGTTAGGGATACCACAACCTAAGAAGCTTTTATTCATTATTTTGTATAATTTCAGTAGGTTAAAATTGTTATAATTCATTGATCGTCTAAATAATAGAGAAGTTTTAGTAACACCGGTAATTGTTCACTCTTCCCTGTGGGATCGACCCGATATATACCCTAAACTACTAGTTGATCTGTATACTTGTAGTGAACGGGTGTAATTCGGTATTTTTTTAGCTTGCACGTATGTAAAATACCCGTCAATTATATCTTCCCGTTTGGCAAAGGTTCTTCCTCACATTATCTCACCACAGCAGAGTGGTTTTGTGTAAGGCTGACAGATGGTGGATAATTTTCTATTAGCGCAAGAATTGTTGAATGATATTAAAAATCCTAATAGGGGAGGGAATGTGATGCTCAATCTGGATATGATGAAGGCATATGATAGACTGTCTTGGTTGTTTTTGATACAAGTACTTCGTCAGTTTGGGTTTAGCCAAGTTTGGATCGATATGATATGGAAACTAATATCGCATGTTTGATTTTCTGTCATTGTCAATGGTTGCCCCCCGGTTTCTTTAAGTCCTCACGGGGTTTGAGACAAGATGACCCAAATTTGCCAACCTTGTTCGTTATTGGTGCAGAGGTCTTGTCCCGTTCACTCAATATGCTAGCGGAGCATCGAAGATTCAAACCATTCAAAGTCCCTAGAAGCTGTTCTATGGTCACACATTTGGCCTATGCAGATGACATGGTCATTTTCACTAGCGGCCTTAAGGTTTCAATAATATTGGTCAAAGGAGTAGTCGATGGATACTATACATTTTTTGGGCAGCGTGTTAATTGTCAGAAAAGTTGTTATTTGGTGCATCCCACCTTGTCTTTGCAACGACGTGCGATGATTGGAATGGTAACCGGCTTCTCCTACAAATCTTTTCCAATCAAATATCTTGGCTGCCCCCTTTATATTGGAAGGAGGCGGATGCATTATTTTGCCGAACTCTGCGACATGGTAACAATCAGAATCCTATCATTGAAGAATTGGGTTCTCTTATTTGGGGGCAAGATTGTGCTATTAAAAAGTGTTCTGTTTTCAATGCCAATCCACCTGTTAGCAGCGGCATCGCCTCCGAAGGGAGTCATTGCTTCCTTAGAAAGGGTGATAGCAAATTTTTTGTAGAGCTCGATGGATATGGGCCAAAAATTTCATTGGTTAAGTTAGGGGGAGTTGTGTCGCCTACATCAGGAGGGTGGGATTGGAGTTTGTAGCTTAGCGAAAGTATATGATGCTTTTTCCATTAAGTTTTAGTGGAACTTTCGGCAAAGGAGATCCCTATGGGCTGAATTTTTAACAACAAAATATAGTAGAGGGTTGCACCCTTGTTTGGCAGAAGAGGGCTGTTCGCTTTCTTACACTTGAAAAAGGTTATGTTCGATTCAACAGTTGGCAGAAGAGCATATTTGCTGGGTCATAGGTGAGGGATCGATGGATTTCTGGCATGACAATTTGATGGGAACTGGGGCTATATGTCATTAGGTGGAAATTTTTCATGAGCATGTTGTGTCAGATTTTGTCTTCCAAGCGCAATGGAATATGTGACTCCTTAATCAAGTTCTAGAGCCTGAGTTGGTTAGGCAAGTTGTGAAGATTCCCCCTTCATCCGCTCGTAGCTCTGATAGGATGGTGTAGGTTTTAACGCAGAATGGTTCATTCTCGGTTTCTTCGGCATACATGCTTGTTTTGCAGGCTTCTAATTATTCTTGGGTGGTTTCGCATGTGTGGCTGAAAGGGTTTCTTATCAAAATCTCCTTCTTTATGTTACGGTTGCTATGTTTGCGTCTTCCCCTAATGAATTTGCTACGTAGATTTGGGGTATAGGGTCCGTCTAAGTGTTATTGTTGTTCTGAGCCAGCAGATGACGAGGTTAATCACATATTTTTAACAGGAGATTTAGCTAAGGCGGTCTGGAATAGATTTGAGGGTGTCTTAGGAGATTTGGATATGGTGTTCATATTGAGACATGTGGTGTTACGGTGGTGGCTGAGTAAGGGGCACAACGTGTATCTCAGGTTCGTTTATCATACATTACCTATGTTCGTCTGCTAGGAGTTATGGAAAGCGAGAAACAGGGGGTTGTTTGATGGAAGGAAGGTGGGGTGGACGGAGGTGGCAGATCAGGTATTTCAACAGTTATGTGATTTACTACATTGTAATTTTTCGGAAATAGCATGTTCTTTCATCTCTTGGGATGTTCTTCACTCTTCGTTGGTAGCTCTGAAAAGAAGGGTTTCTATTTTACCGATTAAATGGTTGGCTCCTAAGGCAGGGTATAAGTTGAATTCGAATGGCTGTACAAAGGGGAACCCAGGAGTTAGTGGGGGTGGAGGAGTTGTGCGAGATGGGGAAGGGAGATTTATCGTCGGTTATTCCTGTTTTTTTGGGTTATTGACCAGTTTACACGTGGAGCTCAAGGCCATACTCTTTGGGGTGCGGCTTTGTGTTGCTCGAGACTTACAAGACTTGCATGTTTAATCTGACTCACTTGTCTTGGTGCAAATACTCCAAGGGACACATGGTTGCCCTTGGAGACTGCAACGGGAAGTGGATGAATTGTTCAGTTTCAAGCATTATTTCCATGAGATAATCCATTGTTATAAAGAGGCGAACAAACCCACTGATTATCTAGCTAACCTTGGCGCAAATTAAAAGCAAGAGGATGTTTTTGATGACTTCGTTCTTTGCCGGTTACTGTTCGTGGGGAGATTATCATGGACACTTTAGGTTTTCCCAAATTTCCTAGAAAATTTCTATAGCTTAGCTAAAAATTTGTATTAAATAACTGTCATATGGATATTTTTATGAGATTGAGTTTGTTGGCAGAGAGTTTCGTCCATTTATAAGGGGAAACTCTGTCAAAATTTTTAATAAAAAAAATTTAATTGCCAAAAAAAAAGGTCATTGAATTTGAATTTTCTAAGTCTTCAAAAGTTACAGTTTCGTTTTTATTTCTGGCAAGACTTTTGTAATTAATTTGTTATTTCAATTTATGGATTCACTCTTCAATTCAAGTAGAACACATATTGCTTTTTTGGTTAGTGATTTAAAAGTGGCCTTTAAACTATATGTTTTTACACGATTTTTTAATTGCCTTTGACAATTTATTAATTGTCTTTAACAACGTATTAATTTTTTTATTTTCTAGGTTTCTGGGGTTAAAAAATTTTGTGCAGTTTTCAATATTTTTTTTTTAGACTTTGGTAGAAAACTTCTAAAGAACAAGAAGGTGTCACTGATTACATAAATGGCAAGACATCAAGTTAATTGTCATATAGCAGTTCACGTCATGCAATATACATCAGACTATTCTTGATTTTTTATGTTTTTGACTTAATAGCAAAATACATCTTATGTTTTCATTTTGGTTTCTATTAGCCATGAACAGATTTAGAAGGTTCCTGTGTTCCTATGACTTGATTGATTTTGAATTCTTATTTTTTATTAATATTTCATTCGGCTTCTTTTCTTTTCACATTAATCTTTAAGCCATTAATATTAAGTACCAAAATTGATGTTTTGGTAACAGGTTGGCCATTCTTTTGTTTACAGAAGATCAGCCAAGTTTTGATTTTCCCTATTTTCAAGTTTTTGAATGTCATCATATTGTCAATTTTTTTTTTTTTTGCATTTTCAAATTATTAATCACTGAATTAGATGTTTAAATTTACATTATAAGACTATTTTTGAATAACAATGTATTTAAGAAAGGTTATAATAGATTATACAATAAGTTTGTATTTTATGCAAATATTTTTATGAACTACACTAAATAATTTATTATTTTTAGACAATTTCCATTCAACGAATGGGTACAAAACTAGTTTATTTTTAAAATAGAATGATAAACTTGCAATCCAATTTTGACCATATTTTGTTACTGTAATAAAGAATGGTTTTTTTTTTTTTACAGTCAACTTATTAAAGTTAAGTATAGAAGTTGTAATTTAGTCAATCTTTTACAATTGCAAAAAATTTTTCACTAATCGTAGTACTATAGTTACACCAAAATTCCTTGATATGAAAAATGTACGATCAAAAAGTCACCATTATTAACTAATATAAATCATAAAATAGTCCACACTAATTATTAGTACACGGAAAATAGTGTAAATGGATACAAATTTATAAGAATAAATCTTATATATACTGATAGTATATATTTTTTCACTATTGGATCTATACATATGTAAAAGTTGGATTTCAAATTTAAATTTTACATAATTATCACTCATCCAAAACCAACAACATATACAAAATTAATCCAATTTATAAATTGTACATTTTTTGTTGATGAACTCATTTTTTGAAAACTTGTTGAGTATAACCATTATTAGTTCACATGGCGATAGAGAAAATTAGACAAAAGGAAATTTGCTTTTACTCCATCTACTAGATAAATACTTTTTTATGAGATGTATAATTTTGGTAGTCATTTGACTTGCTTTAAAGTCCATTTACTTAGTATATCAGAAAATATTTGTATGGGTGGTACTTTAATTAATTTAGCCGAAAGAATGTTAGATGTTTTTTTTTTCCGGCAAAGAAATAAAACAGAAAGAATAAATGAGTTTGAATAAAATAATTCAACAAATTACCAAAAGATAATGTTGATTAGTTCTCTGCCCTGATCCAAACTAAGAAAGATTCAAATTTAGCATAACATAGAGTTGGAACAGAAGTTTGTGGGGTTCACTTCTTAACCAAGTTTCACTACTTTTGGAACTTAGATATCCGTGGCGCTTGCCTAAAACATTATGAACTTCTGTTTCCAATTACAGAGTGACTGCCGAAATTACTTCACTTCATTAGTGCAACTAACAAAATTATCATCTCTGCCACTTTAGGTTGACAATAAGCTTCACGCAGGTGGATGGTCGTCTTCTGGAGTTCGAGGCGGTTCAGGTTTCCAACCAGGTTTTTCATCCCAATAGATGTCGTAGTATATGTGGCCTGGAGAGTGATCTTCCACACAACACCATCTACCTATGTATGCCTTCATACGCTTCCTGAACTTTTCTTCCCTGAGCTTGTCAGTGAAACCAATGAAGGCATCTTCCATGGATGAAAATTGAAGGACTTTGACATCTTTGAATAGTGAGAATACAGTCCAGTACGTTTCTTGAGAGCTATTTTTTGGAAATTTGAGGACTCCAGTTTGATTTATTGTAGCATATGATGAAACTTGACAACCTTGTGATCCCTCGTGACAGAGATCTACATCAAGCCATGAATCTTTCACCTTCCGGGGCATGGATGGATTGTCAAGTATAGAATACTCTTTAATCCTTATCGATGGTCCGAATTCCTCCTCTGGTAATCCTCTAACCATCACATCAACCAGAAATACAGAATCCAGAGGACAGACAAAAGGTTGTCTCATAATACTGCCTACCATGTCTCCAGGACGATGTAACCAAATAGTATCCATCCTGCACCATATACGAGGCATTACCAATGTACGATTGAGCAACGACGCAATGGCAAATGCAGTTCTAATTTGTTTTATTTGGTAATTAACAAGGGCAAAGTGTGATTCAATGTTATGCTCTCCATCTAGTAGCAAATTCTTCGGTATTGAAGGTTTAAATGTCAAGAAGCCTTCAGGGACGTCATAGTAACTTGGTGGATCATATAAAAGTTTTGCTTCTCGAAACCTATGATACTTTCCCTCGGTACCACAAGATTGATGTGTTGTATGCGCAGCATATGGCTCGAGTCCAAGATGTTGATACATGTTTTGGACAAAAAATGTATGCCCGGTACAAAAAATACTTGATGGGAGACAACCCAACTTGAGCTCTCCATCATAAGCATAAATGACTTTACTATCTTGATCAACAAATGGTCCTAACTGTCGGCGGATAATGTCATTGAAAACAACTTGATCCCATATATTTTGATCCGCTAGAATCAGCTCTTTCCATTCTTTTGCCAATTTTTTTGAGGAATTTGATGGCCTCCAATGAAATAAACCTATATTGTAGTGAACATGAATTTGCTCACAGAACTCCAAACTGTCATCCACGACTGTTGGTATAAGTTGATCAGTGGATGTCAGGATGTCTGCATCAGGAAAACGTGCTAGATATGGTAGGGGATTCTTCAACCAAACCGTATCTGAATCACATAATAACAGCTCAAAACCAAAAGGGAGGAAAGCATCTATCAAAATAGCTTTCTCCCTTTGCATCTTCTGAAAGTCTGGTGAGCCCCAGCCAACATCTATTGTGCTCATTTGTCTACCCATATAAAAAACTGGTACTCCTTTCCAATAAAGAGCCTCCAGCAGTTTTGTGTCCAGGGCACCAACAAGAAGGTTGTCAATGCCCAATTCTGTCAAGTGCTTTACCCAATTTAGGACGAAATCCATGAAAGCGTAGTTAGCATAAGTAACTATTATGATGTTATCCTTCACTCTTTGCTGCACCAATTTCTTGCTCAGTTTGAAAGCCTTAAGATGTGGCATCTTGGAACCAGCAGGAGGGACCTCCCAAATATGTTTGGCTAATTTGTTCTGTAGCCTGAAAATGGGAGCTAGTGAAGAATTTCCAGTATTAGTTGTATGAGAGGAATTGGATGCCATGATTTTGGCTGGAGTACTTGGCAAGAGGGAAAAAGAGGAGGAAGAGGATCTATATACATCAGAGAAAATGTAGAAGCAATACAAGGCTGCTGCCATGAGCACAATTGCATAGATCGGCCAGAAAGTTGGCTTACAATTTTCCATATCTTTGAATAGATTTCTAAGCAAACCCAAAAGGGGATTTGAGCTTAATTGAATGGCAATCGAAATATCCATTTAAGCAAACATCTAGTTATATAGAAAGTTACCAAGAAAAAGTGTAAAATCATTCAAAACATCTCTCACATTGTGACAAATGAATTTTTGCATCCTTCACTTTTAAAATAGTAACTTTACGTTCCTTACAAAATAAAGTCGGTAAAATTTGTTCCAAATTTAAGTTTTTGACCACTTTTTACACTAAATGTATTACGTGACTCACATATGGTCTTTTTTTTACAGGCAAAATGGTTAGATCCCATTTGAAATTAAACAAATGATTTGATCCATATTTATTTTTATCCCTAAAAGGTTATGATTTGCCGGAGCTATATTCATTTTTTTTACTAAAAAAGTTGGATCTGACCTAATTCATATTATTTTTATTACTAAAAAAGTGAGATTTGACTTTTTTTTTTAAATAAAGAATGTCTGCATATCAATCATGTGGTGATTTCAAATGAAAAAAATAGTTGAAAACTTTAAATAGGGACTAAAGTTTGTTAACTTGAATTTTTAAGAGACGTAAAGTTAACATTTTACAAATTAAGGATGCAAATATTTATTTAGTGAAATGCAAGAGATGTTAGAACAAATTTTCAAAAAAAAAACAGAAAAGAACAAGTACATTTGAAAGAGTCATAAGTTATTATGGCTATATGAGATTTTTCTTTTCTAGATTGTGCTATTTAGTATTGCATTTAACTCTTCATGAGGCTTGGGCTATGGTCTAAGGGCCTTAGATTGACACAACACAGTTGACATAGATTTGCAAAGAAATTGACTTGCAACTTGCTGCATATTTCAATTGGCTATTCCAAGCCATCTCCAAATTTTGATACATCCCCGAGAAAACCCATAAAGAATTTGAATTTAGTTGAATGAAACTCAATTTTATAGATTGATGGAACAGTCACCTTTGGAAATGTAAGCGTACACTTAAAAGATTCATCATGGCTATTGTTTTCGTTCTATATATAGATTGTGCTATGCTACAATTCTAAAATTTTACTGCGCCTCGTGCTGAAGTAGTTTCAGGGCCACAACATAAGCTTTGCCATGCTCTACATTTTCTCACAAGTTGGGGCTGGACCAATTATGCGCGTAATAAATTAATTGAGTTTGTTATTTATTCGTGCTTGATAGAAACTTACATGGATCCAGCCAGAAAAATAAAATGTGTAAATTTTGTCTAACCATGTGAGAAGGTCATTCAATGGAATAAATTAGACGATGCTATTTTTTTTTTCTTATGATAAGACATAATTAGAGCTTTGCATAAGAAAATTTGAACTAAGATTATGGATCTAACCCCATGGATTACGAACCAATAGTACGATACAGCATAATATTAAGGTTTTGATGTTTATGCTTACTGAAGAAATACTACATATATTCATCTTGCCATGAAAGATTTGCACTTTAGCATATCAGCAATTAAATCTTAAAGCAATGAGTTATATAAAATGGGATAATACAAAATGGGATCTCTGAATACATCAATCCCTGCCCAAGCCATAATACAAAATGGGATCTCTGAATACGTACATCAATATGTGCACAAGCCTTCTTACAATTCCTGGTATCTTACCACCTAACTCAATTCTCCTAATAAGATATAAGTTAAACATAAAAAAAAAAATTCGTAATTAATTTAGTTGGATTTAGTCTTGTTTCCTTAAGAATATTGAAAGACAAACTATGCTAATTTTTGTCCAAGCTTTGAAGTCCTCTATGCCACAAATCCAGCATTGCCGAAGCTATCCAATATCCAGCATACAATTTAAAAAAATAAACATTTCCGATAATAATACTAGAACGGGTAAATAAAATTTTAGTTTGCCCACTGAACTTTCTTACTGTATCAATTTACCCATTAAACTTGTACAAAATATGCTATTCTATTCACGATGAAAATGGGAGGAAAGCATCTATCACTATCAGGATAGCTTTTTCGCTACCCTACTTTTGAAGTTCTTTTTCAGCCCCATCGAACATTTTACTAAGCTCATTGGTCTACCCATATCAACTAAATTTTTACAATTTATGGTCTTTAGGCAATGGTTTAGGGAAAGGAAGTCTGGAATTATGATGGTGATAGCCAACAAAAGCATGCATTTATTTGAAGTTGAAACATGGTAAAGAATATTGCTGCAAAACTGCGCCTCGTACTGCATTAGCTTCAGGGCCACAAAGAAATTGTTTGCCTTGCTCTACGTTTTCCAAGGGATTGGGGCTGGACCAATCATTATTTGCCTAAGCGTTTAATTGTGTTAGGAAATTGGCTCAATTTCTTTTAGTCAAGATTCCTATTTAGCGTGGGAAGTAACTAGTTTTCTAATTAGATTTAGTTACTTGAAGTAGTAGTTAAGTAAAGCCCTATTTAGTTAGAACTAGATACTATTTTCTACTCCATATGAGTTTAGGAAATAGTATTGGTTTCCAATTGTTATTTGATTTTTTGGCAGTAATGTTCTCTATAAATAGGTGGATTAGCATACTGCACAATAGACACACAAGGAGACATAAGGGGCATCATGTAGCCGTATACATGGGGTGTGAGAGAATGTTCTTGAGAGATGAGAGATGGTATACAAGGGTTGGGTTTGGGTTCAAATTGTATTCTTGTATAGGGTTTTCCTCTTATAATAAAGAACAGGTTTCTCTCCGTGGACGTAGGCTCAATGGTGGAGTCGAACCACGTTAAATATTGTGTGTCGTTTATCTTTCATGCTTGTGGCTTATTTGTTATTAAATTGTTATGCATTTGATATCTCAATGTTATTTATTCCGCGTTTGGATCCTAACTGACGTGCGCGGGGTATACATATAATATTAAACTCATCCCAGTCAAGTTTTACATTTATAAATTCCTAAATACCCCACACGCGATTTATCGCAAGTATACGAATCGTGAGCGAGTATAGGGTATTAAGGGTCGATCCCACAGGGAAGAATGCAATTACCGATGTTTTCAAACTTCTTTATTATTTAGACTACCACAAATATAAAATTTATGAAAATAACACTAGAAAACTCCTAGAGATATGGAATTCCTTACTACTCTTGCAAATGAGATTACCGGTTGAGTGAATGCTATTATCTTGATTAGTTATGGCGTAATTTCCTAATGTATGTGAAACCAACTTTCGTAGTGAATCAACTATACTTGTAATTAAGCCATACCTACTCTCGTGGTTATGAAATTAACTACAAGTTCATTTCTTCTATGAAATTACATGAAACAAGTCACTTAAGCCACATAGGTGCACCTCTACTTTCGTGAGTGTACTCCCTAGGCTTATCACTTCTTTGAACTAGTGTTAAATTCCAATTTTCATTGCAAACTTAACACCTTATGATTATCATAATTAATGGCCAGTTAATCATGATTAGATAACCAAAAGTGATAAATAATGTACTCAAAATAATATCATCAAATAGCCAAGTAAATCTCACAAACAAAATATAGCAAGTTCAACCATAACTCTTAGGCATAAACTTTAACTAAACATAATAAAAATAAATTCCAGAACTTGCATAATAACCATAGTTAAGAATCCAATACAAAAGATAAAGAATTGGAGTAGAGATAACCCATGTCACTTGAGCTTCAACTCCTCCTTCTTCATCTCCATCTTCATCCTAATATAGCTATTATACAAGAATGGAAGAACTACACTAGCTAACTATCCTACACAAAGGAAGTGGATGATAGGGTGTTAATTGTTAGTAATTTTATTGTTAATTTTCCTTTTTATCCTTGCCAAATATTGCTTTAATTTGTTTTAATTGTCAATATATATTTATATTTGGTATTTGGATATAATTTCAGAAATGGGAGCAGAAACCTCTTGAGAAGATTATTGTGGAACTTTGCACAATTTTGGTGCAAACCAACGTAGAAGAATGGAATTGCATTTGGGAATTCAATTTGGCTAGACAACATGTCAAAGTTGGTGGGGACCGCAAATAAGTTGTATTGTCTAAAGTGTGCTTTCTTTGCACATTTGTGGTTTTGCTTTCTTGTTGGTGAACGTGTGCACTTGGTCAAAAAGAAAACCGACAATTGCTTTTGTTTTGAGTGGAATGGAAATGATTGTGTAGAGAAATGATGACCTCTTTGAAGGACGTGGGGTGATGTCTCCATTTTGGCTGGTTTTTTTATGTATGAAGAAATCGGACGAGCTTCAGAAGACATTAGACTAGTTTTGGAGTTTTCTCTCTAAAGAAGCTCCGGAGGTAGAATAGGTAGTTGATTGGTTTGTTGGATTTTGGGTGTGAAGTTTTCTTCAGAAGTTTGTTTTATGTTTCTTCGGTCTCTTTCATTCAACTAGTTTCTTCCAGGAAACTAGTTTTGTTGCATTAGATTACGGAGAATCAAATTTTCATTTTCAGTTACTAGCAAGAGTTATTTATGTCTTTGAATTCAATTAAATTGCGTGGGAATTTTCTTATGAGGCGTGGCTAATCTTCTCCTCTAGTCAAGGATCAACGCGAAGACGCAGTCCCAAATATCTGTGAGATCTAATTAATTTTACGTGTTCCTTAATTTGTTAATATTTGCATGTTTTCTATTTTAATTTCCATGGGATTATTTTGTTAATTGGATATCAAGGGACCGATGTGCAATTTGACTTATTAATCTCTTGTCAAATTAATCAATTAAATCCGTAATTGTTTAGTTGGTTAATATTAGTGACAACTAGTATTTTCACATACTAGGGGGACATGCAATCTGATTTAAATAACCCTCGTAGCGTGTTATTAATTTGGGTTAGGTTTTTCTAGTTTTTAATGCAATTAGGAAATTAATTCCTGCGGTCGTACCTAGGAGTATTTCCTGGTTAGGGGTAATCAACGGTCGTACCTTGGTTATCAATAAATTAAGGAAAAGCTGGTCGTTAGAGCTTATCGGCGACTATAACTAACCTGTTAATAAAATTAAGTGAACCTTCTTTGCATCAATGATCGGATGAATGGACTGTGTCTGCGTAGTTGTATCCTTGGCTAGAATT